TTTTTTTTTTTTTTTTTTTTTTGCTGATTCAAGCCCTGTTTATAGAATCAGAGGCGGAAGCAGAACCAGCAGTTTATAAAGCAAAAAGGTTCAGCCGCCATAATGGCCAAGCAAGCTCAAGGAAGCTCATCCCAAGGCAATTCAGGGGGGAAACCAGGAGGGTTATCAGGGACTGGTGTTTTCTTGCCCCGCCATGTGAACTACAACCGCTCAGCCCCATCTCCTCAGCCACCACAGCCACCAAAGAAAACAGGTAAACTCCATTTTCATTCGATAGCTAGCTAATTTTTACATCGTTTTCTAAGTGGGTTAATTAGCTAACACCATTAGTTGAGACTTTCCCATCAATGAATTGCCATTCCAACCATTCCTCGTGAGGCATCTTGGACTCTTCCTCATACCCCTGTTTTTCCTGATTCATAGAGATTCCGTGCCCTTCCAAACACCCTCTGAATCTATCAAATCTTTAACCATTCACGGTTGGTCCAATCAAATTTGTCCGCTTCTTTGGTGGAATCTCCATCCATCTCCTTAAAACCAGACCGCTTTGTGGTCAAAAGGAGCTGAATGAAAACGACACCCGTCTGAATCTTAAACAACTTGCATAGCCCACTATGGTCTAATTCTTTAATGGGTAGATAGATATGCGTGTCTTCCTCTACAAGGAAAAAAACACTAACGAATTTACCATTTCCTACCTTTCCCCATGTCAGGCTCCTCCACTGTTCTCATACCCGTGAGAGTCTTACAAGCCTTACAACTTCACTACAACAGAATGGACGACGAGACAAGACAAAAAATCACAGGCTTCACAGCACTTAGAGGTAATTTTCCAATTTCCACCACAAAATTCTCTCTATGGCATTTTCACAAACAGTTAATGTGCATTCCACAAACACTTCGCAATTTCCCCTCTTTTGTCTCAATTCGATCTGGGTGATTCTCCTTTTCATCTAAGAACATACTCCTATTTGCTAATATGAACAGAAGCAGCAGCGGGTGTGAGAATAGCTACACAAACCGTTAAGAAAAGCCAACCGGTAGCGGCGGCGGCGGCAGCAGAAGCAGCAACAAGCCAAACCGACATAGACCTTCCGCACGAATGGACATATTAATTGCTTTAAACAACTGGCGAGGGGCCATTTCGTCTCTGGAGCACAAATCTGAATCTTTTTGGCAGTTTTCTAGAGAACATGCAGCTGATGTTTATGGAATGGTAATAAATGCCCCAAATGGACGGAGAAGAAGACGAAATGAAATTACGAGTGGTGAAACGCCGTCGTTTTCTTTACTGTCTCAGGGGCAAAAACGTAAATAATGTTTGGCAAAAATGGGATTTGCTTAGATGAAGTCCTTTTGTAATAATTTTGAAGCAAGGTTGTACCTCTTCAATAATTTTTTAAATAATTAAATTATTTTTGTTTGGGTCAATAAATTACATAAAAATAAAAATAAAAAAAATCCATAATTTAATTAAGTTCAAATTTTAGGATGTATATAATAAATATATTACCATAAAAATTATAGGAGATAGTTTGACTTTTGGTCCCTTTGACTTGTTCGAGATCATTGAGATTTATAAAGAGAATGACTTTAAAAAGCATTACAAGTATAGATCGAGAATTAACTTTTGAACTTTTAACTTAAACTTGGACGTCATTCATTAGTCATTAACTCATATTTGATTTGAATTAGTCATGATTCTAAGGTCTAAATTGAAATTTGTACCAACAAAAAGGCTAAAGTTGAAAACAATGTGACAAGAAACGTCATTGTTATCTAAATAAAGAAAAGAATTTGTCTTTTACACAGCTTGAAATTTGAATTAATAGGGAAAGTGAAAAATCTGTGATATCAAATATCAAATATCATATACTTGAGATTACAATCATTTCTAAAAACTCAAATTTTAACATGTAACGTAGTCTTCATATTATAAAGTGAGAGGGAGTGAGGTCAGGGATGAGAACGAAGAATATAATTCTTGTTCCTGATCGTGTTTAGCTGACAGAAAGAAAGTACTCATCACTCTCACGAGTAGTTAATCTTAGTCAATTAAAATCTCTCGTTGTGAGATTCCACATTGATTGGGAGGAGAACGAAACATTATTTAGAAGGGTGTGGAAACTTCTTCCTACCAGACTCGTTTTAAAAATCTTGAGGATAATCCCGAAAGGTAAAGCTCAAAGAGAACGATATTTGCTAGCGGTGGGCTTGAGCTATTACAAATGGTATCAAAGTCAAACACCGGACAATGTACCAACGAGGAGGCTGTTCCTCAAAGGGGGTAGACATGAGACGGTGTGCTAGCAAGAACGTTGAGGCCTGAAGGGGGTGGATTTGGTGGGGGTCCCACATCAATTGGAGAATGGAATGAGTGTCAGCAACGAGGGTCCTGAAGGGGGTGGATTGTGAGATCCTACGTCGGTTGGGGAGGAGAACGAAATACCCTTTATAAGAGTGTAAAAATCTCTCCCTAGTAAACTGGGCTCAAAGGAAAACCAAAAGATGACAATATGTGTGGGTTTAGGCCGATATACACCTTCCTATCTCTTGAAGCAAAAGACAAAGCTATCGAGGTCGAGCTTGAGATAAGAATGGGTCTAGTTTTTGCGTATTTTAAATTCACATCCTCTAATCCAACGTAATCTTGTTGAGATCTTGTTCAGATCATTGGGCCAACAAAATCTGTCATCTTCTTCAACTCTCTGAGTCAGCTGTAAAGACAAAGACAATATAGAAAGACAAGACAAGAAAAGCCACACTACTGGCTACTGGCTTAGCTCAACAATGTCATTGAGGCATTTTATCAAACAGTTTGGGGGCATGGCGCGCTCAAGTTGTTGCCAGCCCCCCCGCTAGCATCACTCATCTCTTGCCAAACAAAAACAGAGAGAGAGAGAGAGAGAGAGATCCTTCATCTTACCTTTTTCGTTTTGTTTTGAACCCAATCGACAGGAACACCTAATTAATGGCTTCCGCAAGTGGCCGCCCCACCCACCCCACCCACCCACTTGTTTCAACCATTTCCCCATTCTGGTGGTTCAAGCCTTTCCCCAACTTCCCCAAAGTAAACATCCGACGGAAGATGACTTTTAGGCTTATTGTAGTGTAGGTTATGTTTCTGGGCTCTCTCTTTGGGCCTTTCACTTGACAAAATATCAGGCCCAAGCCCATGAGGTTATGTCTCTCTTTGGGCCTTTCACCGAACAAAATATCAGGCCCAAGCCCATAAGGTGATAACTAAGAGTGAGATTATATTATTAGATTTTGAAAATATAAAAGATTTTATTAATTTCTTTTTACTTTTTACCATCCATAATTACCTTTATAGTTTCTTTTTTTTTTTTAATTAAAAATAAATATTAGAAGTTTAAATCTCATCCATCCAAAATGAGAGAGGAGTACAGGATGAATTAGTGACCAAATTAATAACCACAAGGATAGGATAACTAAGAAAGACTTAAAAGAATTTACTTGCTCAGCAAACTCCAGATGGAAGATCGGCTGTACCCTGCTGGTACGGCTTTGATTTCGTGTTGTTCATGACTCTGCTCCCAAAAATCAGAAACCCAAATGAATGACCGGCGATGGCAGCGATAAAAACGCCGCCATTGAACGACATCAAAGCAAGCATAACCAAGTACGCAATTCCGATTCTAACCCCATGCACCGCCGTCTGCACGATCCCGGCGGCGAAATTTCTCGGCCCCATCTCCGTCATCAGCCGCCAACGAGACAGCCACTCTACAGACACCGCCAGCAAAAACACTAAAATCAACGCCAGCGCATACATGCCGGACTGGTTGCCCGGCCAGCCGGAGAATAAAACTTGGGTGTTTTTTCCCCAGAAGAATGTCATGTGCATCATCGTCATGCCCGATGACGACGGCATCCCGTGAGAGTGCATGTCGTCATCGGAGCCGCCGCTCATCGGACCCATCGGCGGCGGCGGAGGGTCGGAGTGCATACCGTCGTGGTTGGGAAAAACATCGTGGGCTTTGGCTTTGGAAGAGACAGACAGAGAAATTACAAGACAGAGAATTAAGATTTTTGTTGTGTTCTTCATTTTGCCAATATGTTTGTTTGTTGACTTTGAGAAAAATGATGATCTTCACTCATTTTTATAGCTAATTTTTTTAAAAATTTTATTTATATATGACTGTACTAATGGTAGTTGTACTATATTTTATATGTAGTACAAATTTATATATATATATATATATATAATTAGTTTTTAAAATTTATGGTCAATGAAATTTAATAAATTTCTAAAAATAGATTTCATTTTTATTTTTATTTTTATGTTGCTTGACTAGGCTTAACAACTTCTCACGCACCAGCTACAAAAATTTGTAGCATCCATTTGGGCATCATGTAGGCCTAGTGCTCGTTGTCACAATCACATTTCTCTTGATAGCAAATTTTGCGATTGTGTGATACTCACTTCTCAACAGCAAGTGAGTCAAGTCAATTTTAATTTGTGTTGTCTATAGTCGGACAACGTATCCTCATGCCTTCTGCCCCGATTTGAGGAGAAGATTTTAGAAAACGAGGGCAGAGAGATTTTGGAAGAGAGTTTGAAAGCAATGCTATACGACATACAAGCGAGGAAACACAACGACTTAAGTAGTATATAACATTTCCGGGTAGGAAGAATTTGATAGCTAGTCGTATCCCTTTACAATACATTTTGAAACGATTCAGGTTTGGTAAGCTTAGACGTGATTTTGCTGAACAGTCATACAAAATCAGGGGTAGGAGTTGACAACTAGTCACACCCCCTATAGTACATCTTGGGGCGATTCAAGTCTAGCAGACTAATTTTGCCAAATAGTTATACAAAATGAGGGGAGGAGTTTGACAACTAGTCGCACCCCTTATAATACATTTTGGGGCGATTCAGATACATGATTTCATCGTCATACAAACAAAAAATATAATAGTAAAGCAATACAACATGAAATAAAATAAAGGATACGGCATGACATGGACATGCAGCCATGGACAACACGCCCTGGACTAACATGACCGTGACACTAGTCACGCAAAACTTAACATCATGAACTAAAAGGTAACAACTCGTGATTGTACTAAAAGTTGGTCAGGTTGGTCCAGACACCATACACACCTACACGAGACTTAAACATCTAAGGTAAAAACTAGTGATTTTCCTTTGAGTGTCTAAACAATAAATAAAATAGGCGAAAAAAATAAGAGAAATTAAAATTTGAACAAATAAAACGTTAATTTTAAATATATTATTATCTAGTTTTTCTAGTTAAGTTTGCGGAAAACGTGAACAGCTACGTCATTAATGTCGTGGTGAAGGCTATATCTCGTAAGTCAGCAAAACTAAGGGTTCGACTCAAATTTAAAAAGCAGATAGAATGGTTGACCATGATAAGGAAGAGATGAAATAGCATGTTTCATGCCTTTTTTTATTATTATTATGATTATTATTCACCAATAAAAAAAATAATTAATTAGTCTTAATAATCATAGATTTAGTTGAGGGGGAAATGAACTCTCCCAAGTCTACTTGTAAATTAATTATTCTTTATTTTATTTTTTTATTTTATATTATATTATTATTGGTCTTATTTCGTATTTCGAATTTCTTTATCTATTTACTATTTTATGTCAAGACGTTGACATTTGGTTGATAAAATTAAAATAATAAGCTGCTGCCACACATAAATTAGTCAATTTTATCTCAAATTGTAATTTTATTTTTTTTTAATTATGAAAATACAATTAAAATTTTAAAGAGTAGGATCCACATCCTTACGAGAAATGTTTCATTATTATGCTTGTAGAGTCACTATCTCATTATATATAGTTGGACGTTCAACGGGACCAATAAGGCATAATTCTAAAGCGAACAAAAATAAACCCTAAACCATAAAATTAAGCAAGCCGCGGTCTTCAAAAAGGTGAAAATTTTAAGATTAAGCTATAATAATCCTTATATCTTGTGACGGTTTCTTGTTTTTAGTTTTTAAAAACTAGAAGTGTTTGATTCTAGAAACGTTTCCAACATCAACGTTTTTTTTTTTTTTTTTTTTTTTTTTTTTTTTTTTTTTTTTTTTTTTTTTTTTTTTNTTTTTTGTTTATGTTAATTTCTATTTTTTTAACTTTAAAAATGCATTTTTGTGTTAAAGACTCATTCCTTACCATACTTGGTGTCACAAATTCTTAATTGGCTACATGTTACCACAGTTTGATATTGAGATAAGGTAGATATTTTTTAAAGGCAAGTCTTACATCTATGAACATAAACACGAGTGACTTTATATCCTTCGAGTGAGAGAGTGAATGTGAAGTCCAATTTTCTTTGTGTAAATTTTACAATCCGATATTACCGAAGAATAGCTTCAAATAATGGTCAATAGTGGATTGAATAACATATCTCTATGGTTAGAACTATTTTTAAATCTATAAAGACTCTCATGAAGAGAAGGAAACTCATGATGTCATATTGGATCGTCACCATTAAAAAAAAAAGAAGGGTAAGTTTATCATATCTATATATTTGAGGATTCCTCCTAAGAAATCACCGATAGAAGAAATATAACATTTTAATTAGAAAATTAATAAATTCATAAATTTGGATTACCATTAAATTATCTTAATAGAAAATGTTAAATTTGTAACATGAATAACACCCGTGTTAAAACTAGCTATCCAAATTTTTTAGAAAAGTGTCAAATTTTACTCGATATTAGAATTTTTTAAATTGATGAGAGGAAATTATCACACTATTGAATTTCTTTTGAAAAATAAACCCAATAAAAAAAAAAAAAAAGACTTTGGTAACGGTTAAATTTCAAATTAAGTTTTAAAAATAAAAAATATATAGTTAATTTTGAAAATTTCAAAACTCCACTTAATGATATGAATAATCTAAGCTATTTTAAAAGTCATGTCAAATGTAATGTAATCAAATTGGTTGATTTGAGTATAAATTTCACCCAGGCAATTATTAAATATTTATTGTATTGCAAAATTCATAAGCTAATTTCAATTCAATTAATGCATTAAAGAAAAGGCAACCGTCTCAAAATCCTTTCTTTCTTGACTTTCCATATCCACGTGTTCCCATATAATTGGCTACTCTTGTTGATGCTGACGCAACATTCTAATTTTCTAAATTTATTTCCACCGTTCAAACAAATAACAAAAAAAAAAAAAAAAAAAAGAGTAAATTTATAGCTTTCTTTTTTAAAATTCAATATTTAAAAATAAAATAATAAAATTTTAAACACTATGGTCTTTGTAATAAAACATCAATCTTTCTCAATATACTTTTATTATTATTTTTACTAAAATACGAGAATAAAGTATTATTTAAATGAAGAATAAATTAATCATTGGAAAAAGAAAAAGAAAATCGGCAGCTTGCACGTTATCTAAATTTGCAGTAGAAAACAAAACATATGTTCACGGATGTAATAGAAATTTGAATTTCACAATTTTCTTTGATAATTTATTAATTCAACCAAAATAATTAAAAGGGCGGAAAAGGAAAATAAATAAATAAATAAATGTATATTTTCAAAATATAATTCAATTTTTTTAAATTTTGAAAAGGCAAGAAAAATTAAGGCTAATTATAAAAATATAAAAAGAAAATAAAACTCTCAAATAATAATTCTAACATTTCTTTTTCCTAATTCTATCGATAATCTCAGTAAGCAGGATGAATATCTTCTGAGTTCTTCCTTACAATTACACAAAAAAAAAAAAAAAAAAAAAAAAAAAAAAAAAAAAAAAAAAAAAAA